AACGTCCCCAAAAATGGCTACATGTCTCTAAAAGAAGGCAAGAAAAAATAAAAGTCTACACATATTAAGACTTACTATGTGTCAGGCACCGAGGGAAGGACTTTAGCTCATTTTAGACACAGTCTATAACTGTAGGGACAATCACATCTCCGTTTTACAAATCAGCCGATAAAGATTTGGAGCATTCAAGTTACTTGCCTTCAGTCATGTAGTAAGTGGCAGGGCCAGGATTTAAATTCAGATCTGTCTGATCCAGAAGACTACAACCACTATGCTAGTCTGTCTGGACAGGAAGACCAAGAAGAAGGAACAACTGGAAAAGTGCCCAAAATGCAGAGCCCAAATGGAGGAGGAAAACAATGTTCTGTGAGGGAGCTGGAGCATAAGTGATAGAAAGTCAGACATAGTGAAGGATGCTGGGGGGTGGAGTGGCTTCCCATCAAGCACAGAGTTAGAGCCAAAGTCCTCATCATGGCCATCAAGGTTCTTTGCATCTCACCTCAGCCATCCTCAGCCTGTTCTCTAATCACGATGCCAGCCTCCTGGGTTCCTTCCAGTCTGGTTCCTGAATTCAACTCTCATCCAGAAGCCTGTAATTGCTCCCAACTTCTCCTGCCTGCAAAAGTTCCCTTCTCCCACCACTCCCCAAAATCTGCTGCTTCTAAAGTCTATCTGAAAGTTACCTCCTTTGAAGCCTTCCAACTCCTCTAATTAGTCAATCAGCTCCTTCTTCCCGCCCCTAGAACCATGATTTTGCACATACTGGCAATGATTGTCAGCTCTTGGTCTCCCCATTGGTCTGTGAGCACCGAACCACGCCAAGCGCAACAGTGGCTGCCCAGCTAGTGACCCTCAATCTTTGCATCCCCTATTTTGCATTAAGTAAGACAAGTCATTCAGTCTCTCCTGGCCTCAGGTATCTCACTGATAAATAGAGGGAAACAGACTAAAACTCATATATCCATTTTACAAATCAGGCAATAAAGATTTGGAGCATTCAAGTTACTTCTTGTTGGTGAGGATTAAATGAGAACACACTGCCTGGCACATAGTACCTGCTCAATTAATGTTAGCTATTTATGATGAAATGACATTGATGATGATTGGTTTAGAATAGATGATTTTGCCCTCAACCTTGGCAAATGCTAGGCTCTCCCAGGCTGGCGAGGAGAGGAGAGCTTTAGAGAGAGGGCGACAAGCTTTGGCAGGAGATCAGCTTTACGCCAGCCTGGTCTGCCTTTCACTGCCGCAGTGAAGGGTGAGAGCGACCACCCTTTCTCCAGTCCTCCAGGAGGTGGAGGAGAACAGCCTAGATGCCACCGCTAGCACACAGAGCAGGGCACGTGGGTCCCCGCCCAGCAACCGACTGACTGGACTGGCAAGGGTCAGGAGGGAAACCTCGGGAGGGAACCGCGGGTACGGGGGAGTTGGGGATGTGAGGGCAGGAGTCCGAGTGAAGCAAAAGGTTTCAGTCTCTCGCATCCCTGTCTCCCATCCCTCAAGGTGAGACCTAAAAATACCTCGGAGAGAGTCTGGAGGGGAGGTGAAGGTCGAGTCTGGGGTTTAGAGAAGCATCCGTCAAGGGCTGCCCACGTGAACGTGTCAGTCTCAGGGACCCAGCGGAACGCCAGCCCCGGCACCCCCGCCCTCCCCCCGCCCTCCTTTCAGCGCGAGCGGGCGGCGCGCTCCGGAGGGAGAGCCGGGCTGAGGCTTCCTGCCCCCTCGGCGGCCAAATCTGCACCCCCCGCGCCGCCCTGAGCCCGCCTCGACTGGGCAGCCGGGGGCGCGCCCACGTCTCTCCCCCCGGGCCGGGGAGCCAGGGGGCAGCGCCGGAGCCCGGGGGGAGCGCAGTCCCGCCGGCCGGCCGGCCAGGGCTGGGGGCAGCTAGGACGGCCCCGGGTAAGCGGCGGGAGGAGGGGGAGCGGCCGGGGACCGGGGCTGAGGGGCCGACTGCGGCGGGGAACGGCCGGGGCAAGGGGGCGGCGGGCGAGGAGCTGGAAGGGGGCCGGCGGGCTGGTGGAGAAGCGGCGCGGGGCAGCCACGTGAGAACTGGAGCGGGGGTTGGGGGATGCCTGCTAAGTGCTGGAGGCGGAGAGCGGGCTGGGCTCTTGCATCCCCCCAAACTCCTACCAATCAGGTCATGGGGAGCCCAGCATCTTCCGACACCCCCACCTACCCGCCCCCACGCAAACGTGGTGGGAACAACAGCAGGCGGACGGGTGACCCTACCCCCAGGGGCCCGAAAAGCCCGGGCCCTCAGTCAGGGTCAGGGACCCAGGTGTCCGGGTCAGGGGAGGAGGCAGGAGTCAAGCTCTGGCCCCTGTATGTCCTCGGTCTGTTGCCCAGCGCTGTCTGCAGACTCATTGCAGCGCGCAGGCCTTGGGGAGGGAGCTCAGGGGGCGGGGACAGGGGAATAGGAAAGAAGGACGGGGATCGTCCGCTGCCCTGCCTGCGCAGTGCTGGGGTTGTGGGGAGGGAGCTCAGGGGGCTGGGCCCTGCTTTTCTGGACAGCCCCTCTTCTGCCCCCAATCTGCCAAGGAGGGTAGATTATTAATAAAACGCTTAGACTCCAGGACCCCTGCCTGGGAAGAAGGAGGGGACTACAGTGAGAACAGGGCCAGCTTAGGCCTGGTGAGTGCCAAGAGCCTGGCCCCAGCCTAGGGGCCTCTATACAGCCCTCCCTGGCTCCAGCACAGTACCCTGCTTCATGTCCGTGCTGCTTCCCACAAAGGGCTAGTTTCTGAGCAGGGAGTGTGGTGTCCAGGAGAATCTGCAGGTGGGCACATCCTAGAAGCCTCTATGTTGCCACACCCAGAGAGAGGCCAGGACTCTTCCAGCTCCTTGTCCTCTCTTCTCCCCTAGGACTCCTTATCCCCACCTGCTTGTACTGGTTATGTAATTAACCCAACTGAGGCTCGGGGCCAAGCGAACAGTGGCCAGGAATGCCTCAGAGGCCCAGGGCCTGGGGTTATATATGGGGAGGAGGGACTGATACCTCTCCCAGTTGCACACCCGAACAAGTGTAAGCACCTGTTGAGGAAAGGACACAGCATGGGACAGGAAGGTGATCAGGGTCCTAGTCTTGGCTGACAACTAGCTATCCCTACTTTGGTTTTTACCTTTAATATAGTGAGGAGAAGAGTCATACACACACTACCTGTATGTGAGCTCACGCAGCTAGGGGCTATGACTCTCCCACGACTGCTAGGAGGCCCCTCGAGACAGTGGAAAACCTCAGACGAAGGAAGGACCCTGCACCCTGCACGTGACAGTACCTATTTTGCTGTTGAGTCGATTCTGACTCATCTCGACCCTACAGGACAGAGTAGAACTGCCCCACAAGGTTTCCAAGGCAGTGATCTTCACAGAAGCAGATTGCCACATCTTTCTCCTGCAGAGCAACTGATGGGTTCAAACTGCTGACCTTTCGGTTAGCAGCTGAGTGCTTAACCACTGCATCACCAGGGCTCCCTGGATGTAACAGTAGCCACTGTTTATTGAACACCTACTCTGTGCCAGGCAGCAGGCTTTACCTGCCCAACCTCATGGCACCCTGTGAAGTTCCTTACCTGAGGTCACACTTGATGCCTGATGCTTGATGAGTCTCACTTCAAACAATGCCGTTTTTTCTTAAATTATTATGGTCTATATACACATGCCCAGTAGATTGGATCCTCTAGGCAGGACAGACAGGGAGACAGTCAGCTGTGAACTGTATATATGTGGAAAGAGCATGCATCTACACAGAAAACATGTCCACATGCTGGAAAAGAATGACCTTGTCAGAATCCAGCCACCCACCTGCTCGGGACCCATGCCCATTATGCAGGCACCGGTGTCAGTCTCTTAGGAATAGCCATAGAAAGGTGCTTGCTGTCACCACTTCCAACAGAAGGAGACAGCATTGGCTATTGACCCCATTTGCCACATACACAGACTGAGACTCAGATTGGATAGATGTTCTGCCCACTGACCCACAGCTGAGAAACATCTGAGCTGAAATTTACACCTAACTTCTGAAGTCATTGAAGCTGAGCAAGCAAGGAGCTTAAGGGCCTATATTAAGGCCCACTTCCCTACTCCAGCCGTCCTTTGCTGGGCACCTGCTGTGTGTCAGGCTCTGTGCCGGCTCCAGAAGCCAGAGACTCAGATCCAGCCCTTGGCCTGTAGGCATTCACCAGCTAAAATCACTAAACTTAAAAGTTGACAGTAGTGTGAAATTTTAGAATGGAATGGTTGCCATCCCCAGCTGTGTGACTTCGGGCACATTTCTTACTGCCTGTGAGCCTCCTCTTTGAGGGGAGTAAATCCCTGTCCCTTAGGGCCATTGTGTTGACTGGATAAAGTGGCTATTCTAATAGAGGAAGTGCTCGACAAATGCACTTCAAAGCCGAAGCAGCCTCCGGTCCAGTGGCTCTCACCTGGGGGCATTTGGAAATATGGGGGGAGCAGTTTTGCTCTAAAGGTGACTGGAGGTTCTGCTGGCAATTACTTCCCGGCATGTAAAAATATTCTGTAATGTGTAGACAGTCCTGCACAATAAAGAATTGTCCCACCAAATGCCAGAAGCATCTCCACTGAGATACTGTTGTCTAGTCTCACCCCTTGAGGATTAGGAAAATTGAGACTTTGAGGAAAATTGAGGCTATGGAATTGTGTAGGAAAACTGGGCCTCCAAACGAAGTCCAGTGCCCCTTGCACTGTACCCTGCAGTCTGCCGTGGTTGGAGTCAGACATGGTCGAAAGTCAAGCTGTAGTCAAGAAATAACCATCCTCACTGGCAGGGTGGTAGGAAAAAATGGAAAAGGAAGGATGAGGAGGTTTTGGATAAATGGAGAGAAGAATTCTGGGGAAGGGACGGTATTCCAAGTGCAGCAACAGCTTCAGCAAGTCACAGAGGTGGAAACATGGAGGGCACATCTGGGGATAAGCCAGCCACACTAAGTCCACCTCTTGTCCCCACAGTCCAGGTGGAGGCCATAGAAGGCCCAGGGCAAGCGGGAGCAGCAATGGTTAGTCCTGACGGTGGCTGAGCCCCCAGCCCCTGGAATATGCAGCCCGGGGGGGCCCCAGGCAGCGGCGAGGACGCGGCGGCGGAGTGGGACGGGAGGCATGGTCTCCACCTACCGGGTGGCCGTGCTGGGGGCGCGAGGCGTGGGCAAGAGTGCCATCGTGCGCCAGTTCCTGTACAACGAGTTCAGCGAGGCCTGTGTGCCCACCACCACCCGCCGCCTCTACCTGCCTGCTGTCGTCATGAACGGCCACGTGCACGACCTCCAGATCCTCGACTTCCCGCCCATCAGCGCCTTCCCTGTCAACACATTGCAGGTAGGAGGGCCCTTGGGGGTTGGGGAGAGGGGCTGACTCTAACCTACTCTGGGCTCTGGTCCTGTTGGTAGGGCCCACTGCTGGCTTTGACAGCTCCACACGTTACCCTGGGCCCCTCTGCTTAGAGCTCTACCAGGAATCCATTAATTCATCTGTTGGTTCATTCAGCAAATATTTGATGAACATTTAGTGTATGCCAGGCCCTGTGGTGGGCACCGGGGGTGGGAGTTGTAGGATGATGAGCAAGATAGATGTGGAATTTGCTCTCAAGGAATTCATGGATCAGTGAGAAAAGACAGGCAGTTCTATAGTGTGATAAATGCCATTCCACTTTTGGAGGGGATGCAGTAAGTAAGGCAGCCCCAAAGGGGCATCTAACCCACTCAGCCAGGTTGGGAGGGGGATGTCACAGAAGACTTCTGAAGGAGGTGATCCTTGAGTAGGATTTAGGCAGGTAAGGGGTGGCAGAGAGCAGGGCAAAGGAACACTGGGTGCCTGCTGTTATCCTGGGCGCTGCCTAACGTGGCCTGGGATGCTCACGCTGCAGTGTCTATGCTGAGACTGCAGGAGCAAAGGCCAGGACCTAGGAAAGCTGTGTTCTCTGAGGCCTTGGAAACCCCAGTCAGCTCTTGCCCAAGGTGATGCTTTCCTCATGGGTGATGCTCTGCCACCTGACCTCAGAGCCTGGCTGCTGGGCACCCTTCCTGCAGGGATAGGACTCAAGTATGCCTGCTGGAGCCAGGTCCCCCTTCCTTGTCTCTGCCTCTGGCTTGAGTAGGGTTGGGGTGCAAGGGGCAGCTGAGTTCAAAGACATGTTTGCTCACTGATGGAGGCCTCTGACCAGAGTGTGCAGAATGGCAGGGAGGGATCTGCACAGAGTAGAAACCAGAATGCGGCGGCCAGCTTAGCCACTTGTAACTGAGCAGATGCAGTAGTCTCTTGGGATGGGACCAGAGGCTGAAGAGGAGGTGCTCAGCATTCAGCATTGCTTCACTAACACTGAGCAGGAGGGCCCAACCTGCCAGAGACCCTTGTCTCTCCTGTCCTGGGTGCCAGGCGTCAGCAATGAGGATAAAAGCCTGAGCCATACATCCAGACCTGGAGTGGTAGGAATGAGCCAGGTAGGGTAGCAGGCTGGGACCAGGATCTTCTGGTCTCCCCTAAAGAAGACTATAAAAGGTAGCCTGAGTGGACACTCAACACTTGCTCCAAGCCTCGCCCTGCGCTTTATTTTTTCACATTTAATTGTGTATGTTATTTATTTATTTACGATTTGGGTAAAAGTTTATGGAGTAAATTAGTTTCTCATTCAACAATTTATAAACATTTAGTTTATAATTCGTTGCAATCCCCTCTATGTGACAGCACACTTCCCACTTCCTCCCTGGGCTCCCCGTTTCCATTCCTCCTCCTTTGGCCTCTTCCTGCCTTCTGGGCTTTGTTTGGGGGCAAATGCTGCCCTTTTGGTCCCCTGTGGTTGATTGTTCTAAGGAGTATGTTCCTCCCTGGTGTTGTTCCTCACTTTATAGGCCTCTCTGTTCTTTGGCTGAAAGGTGATCCCCTGGGGTGGGTTTATTTCTAGGCTTGAAGGGTGTCTCAGGGCCATAGTCTCAGGAGTTCCACCAGTGTCTGTCAGATCAGTAAGTCTGGTCTCTGTTACGGTTTTGAATTTTGTTCTACATTTTCCTCCCACTCTGTCCCAGGCCTTATCTATTGTGATCCCAGTCAGAGCAGCTGGTAGTGGTAGCCAGGCACCATCTGGTTCTTCTGGTCACAGGGTAGCGGAGGCTGTGGTTCATGTGGTCCATTAGTCCCTTGGACCAATTGTTTCTTTGAGTCTTTGATTTTCTTCACTTTGCTCCAGAGGAGGAAGACCAGTAATTGCATCTTAGAGTGTGTATATGTGTGTGTATGTGTGTGTAATTTAATTTTAATTTTGGAATAGGAAGTCATAATAGAAAAGACCAAACTATAAAAAAATGTACAGCCAGAGAAATCACAGTCCCATCTCTACCCCTCCTTCACCCTAATTCCCCTCCCCCCCTTTCCACTAGCTTCTCACAGCTACACTATATTGAATTGAGTAGATAGATGTCCCATAGAATCCTCTCTTGTTGGGCAAGTGGGTTGTTTCTAGTGTTTTGCTTTTGCAAACAGTGCCGCAATGACTGTTTATACATAAGGCATGTTGTACACAGGTGTGTGTATCTCAGTGGTAGATTCCTGGAAGTAGCATTGCTGGGTCAAAAGGTAAATGCTACTGGAGTTTGGAAGTCGTCCCTAGATGCTCCTCTGCAGAAAATGCATATTTTGTGCTTTTGCAAGAGGTGTATGTGAGCGCCTGTTTCCCTAAAGCCTCACCAACAGAGGGTGTTGTCAAACTTTTGGATCTTTGACATTGTGATAAATGAGATATGATATCCTCAGTGTAGTTTGTTTTTACAGCTCTTAGGAGTTAAGTGGAGCATCTTTTTGTGTGTTGAAGGGCCTTTGTGTTTCTGTTTCTGAGAACTTTTACTGTCCTTTGCCCATTTTCCTACTGGATTGTTGGCTTTGATTGACCCGAAGTTTTAGACCCTCCAGGATGTCCAAGACTTCCTTCCTGTACACAGGTAAGGGACTCTGAGCAGAGAAATACTGAGAAGGGACTCTGGAAGACCCAAAGACCAAATATCAACCCCAAGAATCTTGATGGACACCATTGGAAAATAAAATTAAAAAACACTCTTGCCCAGTGTCAGATGCGATTCAGCCCGGGGGGTGGCATGACCTGGGTCTGAGCCTCATCTGTCTCTTCTCCAGCCCCGTCTCTCCCATCACAGAAGGAAGCTGAGATGAGGGGGCGTGTGTGGCCCACTGAAGGCATCACCAGCAAATACACGGTTGAGACCCAGTGCCCAGGCTTCCCTGAGGCCCTCGTCCCCTGCATCCCTGGAACTGCATTCACTGCTCCTTATCGACACAGCCCTACGATGTGCTTTTACAATTTGGGACCCTACACACAGCAAGCTAGAAGGGAAGCAGAGCTTTCTTGGTCCCCTCTCTTGAATTAAGGGGTGAAAGGGCAGCCCAACCAATCAGGAGCCTTCCTCATCTCCCTTTTAGGAGCTCTCAGAGAAGAGTGGGTGGGAGGCAGCCTAGAAATCCCCTCGGGTAGGCAGCATGTTGAGGGGAGAAGTGGAGCTGTCACCCTCCTAGGCTGGCAGCTGTTCCCCAGCAGTGAGTCTGCAGAGGGTGGGAGCCTCTCTGCACCTGGTCCCTCAACCTTCCCACCCCGCTCCTTGTGTGGGATGAGGGAGGAATGGCACACACAGGCAGTCCTGGTTGGCAAGAGGTCACTGTGTCCAGGAGAATGCAGTTTTCCTGCCTGAGAAGCCAGTTAATGGTTTCCTGTGGTTTTAGATTTGTCCTCAGCATCCTCCCCCTGCACCAAAAATTAAAACCTCAGCACAAAGAAAAGATGCCACATCATCTCCCTGGGGAAATCCACTGCAGCATCTTCAAAGCCTCGGAGTTGAGAAGTGCTTTTCTGGAGTCAGACTTAACTCCCCGCCACTGCCACCAGAGTCTTCCTTTTTTTCCTTCTTTGAGGTAGAGAACCAGCTGTAGTCCTAATTCATGCCTAGTCCCTGCCCAGCTCAACTCATAAGCTGGACAGGAGACATGCTTAATCTCCTTCTAGCTTTGTGCTTGGGCCCTCAAGGGAGAAGACTCTTCACCCTTGAAGTCCTCTGCCCCCCCCCCCAAACTTCAGAAAGCCCCTTCTTTTCCACAGCGGCTCCCTGAAAGAGCTCTCGCAGTTGCATCTGCTGGCAGGTTAACTAGCTAATTAATCTCTTAAAGAACTGAGTCTTCAGCACAATCAGCCTTTCTGGGGGCCTATTCATCTTGAAAGGGGTCCTAGTGGCACAGTGGGTAAGGGCTTGGCTGCTAACTGGAAGGTCAACAGCTTGAACCCACCAGCCTCTCCATGGGTGTAAGACGTGGCAGTCTGCTCCCATAAAGATTGACAGCGTTGGAAACCCTAAGGGGCTGTTCTGCTCTGCCCTGTAGAGTCACTATGGGTCAGAGTAGACCAGAGTGCAGTGAGTTGGGTTTTTTGTTTGTCTGTTTCATTCATCTTGAGCTACAGCCTCTCCCTGAGAAGCTGCCACAAGCATTCAGGAAATTATATCCTCTGAAGCCCCCCTGGGGTCCTGCTCTACATCTCCCATTTTGTATCCAGTCCCAATCTTTTCCCCCTCAGGTCTTCTCCTCCTCATCCTGGAGGGCAGGGTGGAGTATGCAGGTCAAACAGAACCTCAGGTAGCCATCTAAGTAAGGGTTACCAGTACCAGTTCCATTGATCACAGCCTGTGTGAGGTGGGGTTCAGGACCATGGAGAGCTCACCAGCCCAGCTAGTGGGCCGACCCAGGGATTTGATTAAGGAGTTAAGGTAGGGCAGGGAGAAGAGGGGCATGTCAAAATGAGGAAGGCCCTGGCCCTCCCAGGAGTTTACAGCATGCTGGAGATGGAAGCAACTCTAATCAGACTTTGCTCCAAGCTTACCTTGCTCTACCTAACTTCCAGCCTCAACTAGATAGTCTGTGTTCTAAAGGGCTCTTAGAACACAGAAGATAAAAGGAAGGGGGAGAAATGAGGAAGACTTTTTAGAGTAGGTGGCACTTGAACTGAGGTTTGGAACATAGACAGGATTTCAATAGGGCTGACACTAGTTCAGGACTAGCTCTCAGAGGCACCTAATCAATGTACTTGTTGAACAAAAGACAGGATGGATAGATGAAGGGACAAAACATGACAAGTCAGGTTTCAGCTCCAGATGTGCACAGAATGGGGCAGCGCAGCCCAGACACTGGGACCTGCCGTACCCTGGCTTGGGAGCGAGGGAGCTGCAGCGCTAAGCGGCTCCATTCTGCCCTGGGCTTGGCCTCCTGGGGATGAGTAGGTGTATGGAAGGCTTGGGTTGCAGGAGCAGGTGAGAGTGCCACCCCTCAGGGGCTGGGGGGGCTGGGTATGAGGGGAGCCTTCATGGCTGCTCTGACCCTGGCACTGGTGGGGGGGGGGTTGTTGCAGGAGTGGGCAGACGCCTGCTGCAGGGGACTCCGGAGTGTCCATGCCTACATACTGGTCTACGATATCTGCTGCTTTGACAGCTTTGAGTACGTCAAGACCATCCGCCAGCAGATCCTGGAGACGAGGTGAGGGGCCGGGGCACGGTCCATTGCCGCCTCTGTGCATGCCCCACAGGAAAAGGAGGCAGTGGGAGGACATGGGTGAAGGAGCAAAGGCCACTCAGCTATATGACTTTAGGCCATGTAACATTTAAACCTCAGTTTTCTAACCTGTAGAATGGGGATAACAATAGTGCCCAAGTTGTGAGTCATTTGGGCGAATTAGAGAATATTATGTACCTCAGGGCTTAGCGCTGGGTCTATGGGAGTATTATTATTGGCCAGGCATCCTGCCCTTTCTGGGTCCGGTGGCTGTGAGGCTGGAGCAGTTCTGAGGTCCCCGCCCTACCTCGCAGGGTGATTGGCACCTCGGAGACGCCCATCATCATCGTGGGCAACAAGCGGGACCTGCAGCGCGGACGCGTGATCCCGCGCTGGAACGTGTCGCACTTGGTGCGCAAGACCTGGAAGTGCGGCTACGTGGAGTGCTCGGCCAAGTACAACTGGCACATCCTGCTGCTCTTCAGCGAGCTGCTCAAGAGCGTCGGCTGCGCCCGCTGCAAACACGTGCACGCCGCCCTGCGCTTCCAGGGTGCGCTGCGCCGCAACCGCTGCGCCATCATGTGACGGCGCGCCCGCCCCGCCCGCCCGCTAGGGCGCCCCCTGCTGCCGTAGGCGCTGGCTGAGGCAGAGGGCAGGGCCATGCTGGGGACGCACCCCAGAACAAGCCTGGCGGGGCGGCCTCTCCACGGGACTGCAGGGCTTGGGCGGGGCGGGGGCAGATGAGAACTCTGAAGGTCCCTGCCTGAACCGCCCCCCACAGCCACGCACCTCTGGGTGAGAGGCACAGGGTGAAAGGGAGCCTCGCCATTACTGCCCAGTCCTCCCCTCTCCCCCATTCTTATTACTGGGATGGCTGCTTCAATGCCACAGTCAGTACAGTACCCGACCCTGCTCCAGGGGGCGCCACAGCCCTTTGGGATGGTGGTGAGTGTGTGAAATTGAGAATGGGGATGGGGAGGTGCTGCCTGGGCCGGGCCCTGCGCGTCTTCTCCAGAGTGTGTCTGCCCCCATGTCTTCCTTTCCTGTGTCTGTCTTCCCAAATGTCTGTCCTTAGCTGTCTGGTCGACCCCCCAGTCCCCCTCCACGCCCCCAGCTCCGCTCACAGGGCTCTCTCATTTCATCCATCCCCCTGTCGCAGATCCTGGCAGCTTCTTTGGGGGGCCAGGCCATCTGACCATCAGCACCACCGGTATAGGGCAGAGAGATGCGGGTGGCCCAGGGACCACAATCAAGGGGTCGGAGGGTTGAGGTCCCAAATCAGTCAGGGGGAGAAGGCTGAGCTCTCCCCCTCCCAGGGAGACCTCCCCGCCCAGCAGCCCCCAGAGACACAACAACCTACCTTCCAGCCTTAACTCGATGGTCCGTCCCTGCCGGGTGCCCCTCACCTCCTCCCTGCCCCCAAAACCAGGTTACCCCTGGGTTAAAACTTTATTTTCTTGAGTGTGGAGAGGAAATCTCTCAGAAGATAGATTTCTTCCCATGATATCAGGCTCCAACCCTCCATTCCCTCCTGCTTTGAGTGGTCTGCCAGATTGGAGGATGTGGGGGGCTGGTGGTGGGCAGGGTGGTGCCCAGGGGGGTCAGATTGTATCGGTGAAGACTCCATCTCCCCATCCCACCCCAATCTAACAGCCCCGGATTCTGCCTGCCTCAAATCTCAGATGACCCTGGTAATCTACAGAGAAGCAGAGCCAGGAAAAAAATTAGAGGACCCCATGCTTTGGGGAGATAAGCCCGCATCCCCACCCGTGGATGGGGGCCCTCAGGCCTTGCCCTTCTGTCTGGGATCTGACACCCCCTTTGTCCCACACCAGTTGGCCCTATGCCCTTGCTCACTCCGCCCCATTTTCGCCGGCTGCCTGGCCGGGTTTCTACCTCTCGTCACCGGAGCTGATCACTGTCAGTTTTGTACCGATTTAGAAATAATAATAATGATGGTACTAGGAACGGCCTGAGGGAGTGCTGGGGGACTTGGAGGGAGGGAGAAGCGGTGCCCTGTCCCCTGTCCCCTGGCCAAGGGACGACTCCTCAAGGCTGAGCCCTTAGCCCTGGTCTGGTGGGAGGACAGCAGAGTCCCTTGGTAGAGGGGCAGATAGAAGAGCTCAGCCTCCACTTGGCTGAGGCCGCGGCACATGGGCCAGGAGATCAGGTAGCCCAGAGCGGTGATAGAGAGGAGTCCGGGGAGGGGTCGTGCGTGGGGAATTTACCACTAAGATGCAATGTGGGAGGGAACTGACCCTCTGGCTTCCCTGGCTGATCCTCACTCCCCCCACGCATGGGAGTGGCACTGCCCTAGAGCTCCCGGGTCCTGGTCCCTGCTCTATTGCATGACTTTGGGCAAGTAACCTGCCCTCTGTGAGCCTCCCTCTGAAGCAGAGGAAACGGCTCCCCTTCCCCACACCTCTGAGTGGCTGGGAGGGTGAAAAAGAGGGCCTGTCTCCTATTGTCCCCTGCATCCGTGCCCCCTGGTTCACCAGGGGGACCGATGAGGGATGGCAGCTTCTTGCCTGCCTCATCACCCCCAGCTCAGAGGCACCTGGGAGGGTGGGGGGCCCAGGCTTCTGGCTGCCCCTGTGGGAGCCCTTGGAATGTATTGCCTGACCAACCCCCCACACACACACACACCCCCGCTTCACCCCAGGTCTTTGATTTTGGACCCCTCCACCCCCATTCTGAGTCTCTGTTCCCCCCACCCCCCACCCAGGGTTTCCCACTACAGGGTCTGGAAGTGTGTGTGATGCCCATCGCGCTGTGATCAGAAGTCAGATTAAAAATCAGGGAGTGTTTTCCCTCCTTTCTGTACCAAGTTATCTGCTCTTTTCCTGATGGTGGGAGGGGAAGATGTTCCTCCAGGACCTGCCTACTGAGCTCCCCCATGGAGGGAGGGAGACGGAGGAGGAGCTGGCCCCGAGTCCCAAAACCCAGGCCAGCCAGGAGAACTATGAGGAAGAGTCTGGGGCACAAGACTTACCTCCTCCCGTTAATTAAAACCATGGAGGGGTGGTAACTTCTCTCGAAGTGGTAACTTTCTCTGGAAAACTTTCACAACTGGATCCGTCCCAGCTTTGCTTCCTCAGTCTTCTCCTTTCCATTTACAGCTGAGCCTTTGAGTCTCTTGGTCCTAACTTCATGGATGTACATGTGTTGGGAATGTTCTCACCCATCCTGCTTGACGCTGAGTGGCTCCAAACTCAGAGCAGAGCTTTGAAGTCCTTGGCAAGGATGGCCTGAGGGACTGTATGGTGGGACCATCCTTATCCCTGCCCGTGTGCTGATTCACCAGTCACTTCTAGGAAAGATGGGTTGTCTACCAAGGTTGGCTGAGTGATGAGAGAGGAAGTGTCTCTCCAACCTCAACTCCATCTCCCTCGTCCCTTTCCCCTCCAGTAGGGTAACATCTGAAACTACACCTTCCTGTACCACCACATCCTATAGTGAGGGACTCAAGAAGTTGGGGGCTCAAGGAAACCCACGTTTTTAATAGGAGTTGTGGAAACTGGAGTATGTATGGCCAGAGGCCAGGAGACAAGTTTGCCTTGGGGGAGGGAGTGAAGAAAGATCTAGGGTGGCCCCACCACTCCTAGCCTAACGAGTTGGAGTGAGGTGATGGTTTTCTTTGCTCAACTCAACAGACTGTATTTGTCTTCTGACCCCCTCTTGGCCAAGGTGCTGTATTGTGGTGAGGGACCTTCCCATCTGTTCATGCTGCTGGGAGTCTGATGGAAATGTGGGCATCCTTTGAGTTTCCCTCTGTCTCCACACCCACAGCTCTGGGACAAGAAAGCCCCTCCTTATTAGACCCAGGTCTCCTCCTCAAGCAGGCTGGGGGTTTGGTCAAGCTGCTGAGGCCTCTGGTCTTCAGGTGGTGGAGGCCTGCTCTGTAATATGGTGGCTGACACTTTCTTCTCCTTTCCTTCCTCCTCCTTTTTCCCCTCAAAGTCCCCATCCACTGCGGGTGCCTCCCCTCCTTTGCTGCCCAGTGTTGCCCTTGACACCCTGCACCTAGTGGGTGCCCTGGCTGGACCCAGGCAGAGGTAAGCCAGTGGCTTAGGGATACGTGAAGGCTGCTTCTCAGGCCTGTGGTCCCTCCGGGGGCGGATTCTGGGCCTCAGCTTCAGCTTGTAAATGGATGGGACCCTCTGGGGCTTCCGGAGTGTTCTCTTGCCCTTGCTTGGACATGCCTTGGTTTTGTCAGAATTGAGGTCCAAAGGCAAAGGTGTGGGGACCTCCAGGCTAGCAGATACAGTAGAGGCTGAGCAGTCCTGCCCTCCTTGAGGAGGTACCTTCCTGGTGGTGCTTTTGTCGCTCAGGGTTGCTTTATTCCTTGGCCCAGTCTCTCTGACGCCCAGCTTCTCTTTTGGGTTTTCTGGGTCTGGGGTAACAGCTGGCTTATGAGATTCTGGAGGGGCTGACCCCCAGGCTCCCAGGTCTACTTTAAGGAGGGGTGGGGGGCCCTGAGCCAGTTCTTGAAGGACTTTGTCATAAAGACCCCCAGGTTCTGGCCAGTGCCTACCCTGTCTGGGGACATAGACACCACTGCGAGGGATGGCCCCTGACCCTGTGCCCCGGGGACGGGCACCCTGTGCCTCTGGAAGCTTCACATTGGCCAGAATCTCCTCTTCGAGGCTATGGTGGGTGGCTTGCTCCTCGGTCCTGCCCAGGGGCAGAGGCACGTGCCTCCCCTCCTGCTCCTGGGGGCTCAGTCCCTGGCCCTCTGCGGTAACTTGGATGTCTGGCTTCTGGTCCCCCTGTGCCCTCTTCACAGAGCAGTTCCCACATCTGGACCCAGCCAGGTGTCTGTCACCAACCACGGCCCTTAGTGAGCTGGGGCCTCTCTCCAGTTCCGTCATGGAAGCTCCACTTGTAGTACCTGGCAAGCCTCTTCCTGGAGTCGGGGGGCGGGCAGGGGACAGCCGGACGGGGATCTTGGTGGGTGCTTTAGTAGAGGGTGGAGAACAGATGGCTGCTGACTCCCTGAGCTGGAGGGAAGTACCCTCATCCTCACCCCACGGTGGCTGCCCAAGGCTCAGGCTCTTGACTGGGCTGGAGGAATGAGCCAGGGGAGATGGTCCTCTCGCTGGTGTCCCTTTGGTGGTCACCTCAGGGACTCGGAGTCTCTGGGGGATGGGGGCCCTTCCATAGGTTCCCTGGCTGGCTGTTTCTTCATAGACCCAACAGGTGGAAGTCCTTCCCCTGAGGAGTTCAGAGGGGTGTCTGTCCTCCCTCTTCCCTGAGGACGTGCACTGTGGGTCTCGCCCCCTATGGGTAGATGAGGACTGGGGGCTGGGTGGACTGTCCCCAGCTGACAGCTGCCTCCGAGATGGGGTGAGTGACCTCTCCTGGCACCTGAGAGGGAGAATCATAAGGTCCAAAAGGGACACTCATAAGGCCAATTGGGTCACCTAGTCCAGTCCCCTGACTCTAGAAAGGGATGATCCTTCTCCAGGCAGAACACCTTTCACCCCTAACAAAGGAGATACACCCCTTCCATCCATGACTGCTCAAGTGTTCCTTATATCAGCCCCCTCTGCTGCAGATAGAAGGAGGCCTGGTCTGGGCCCAGGGCACCTGCAGATCCCACAGCCAGAGGCCACTAGTCTCGGGTGTGGGGGGACTCCTAGACTCTGCTCTACCACAAAAGAGACAAATAACCCTGGATAAATCCTGTTTCCTGGGCCCCAGCCTCCTCATCTGTGAAATGGGGGTGAATATGAAGTAACTAGATGATCACAAAGGTGCCTGGTGCCTTTTTGGTTCGAACACCTGAGGTCTTGTTGTAGGAGCTGGTGAAGCACACAGCTGTGAGCCCTGATCCCTTTCATCGTGGGGTGGGCTGGGGTGGCCTGTGAGAATGTAGACACCAAAGGAGAAAGAGGCCATGCCTGTACCTCATGGGTGGTGCCATCTCTCTGAGGAACCCCATCCCTGCTCCCCGTTCACAGCGGGAACTGGGGGAGGAGGAGGTTGGAGGCTTCAGCTTGTGGCCTGAAGAAGTGTATGTCTTCCAGTCCACGGGGGGCAGCGGGCTCTGGGAGCGGCTGATGGTCATCGTGGGCTGGGGGTGCGAGGGTCCATCCAGCACCCTCACTTCATGCTGCACCGATGGGGCTGGGGGCTTCGGGAAGCTGCCTGGCTTGTGTGCTATCAACACAGACCCCAGAGGGAGGAGAAGAGGGAAGGTTAAATATCCCGGTGATAAGCCCCACTGTCCTCTCCCATGACATCCCACACCCTTCCTCCCACAGTAAAGACAGTGGGACCTACAGTGGCAGTGGCAGAATTTCCTACAGGAAGGACTTAGGGAACATCATTTGGCCAGAAGATGGGACTGGGGGACTTGTTTTAAAGCTAAGTTTGTATTGCCAATCTACTACTTTCACTTAGATTGCAAGTTTCTTTGGGGTGGCAAGAGATGCTGATGGAGATTATAGAAGAACTAAAGAAAGACTCCGTCCATGGTGGACCCCAAGAACCAGACTGCAGCTCTTCAGAGGCACCTTGACCAAATGCATGTGTCTGGCGCCACCTTGTGTCTATAAGAGATACTGCACCATGACTGCCCAGCTTTCCTTCACCTAAGGCTGAGGAGAGTGCCTCCTATGGGACCTTCCTGTCTTCAACCACTCCCCACCCCTGCACACTTCTTGCCCTCATTTCCTATCTTTTCATCTCTCTGGGAAAAACCTCTCCTAGAGTTAAGGTTCACCAGTGTCCTACCGAAGATAAGCTTTCCCCTTGGAACTTGGAGATCAGACCTATCTCTGGCTCCTGCTTCCAGCCTCCCTACCCAGAGTTACCCTTCTCCAACCACAAGGGAGGGAATCGCTGGAGACTCACAGAGGGATGTGCACCGGCAGGGGTCATGTTTGTCCAGGTAGTGACCAAGTGTGTCCCAGCCACCACCCACACGGACCATCACGTGGTTTCGAAGGATCTGCAGGAGTTAAGGGTAAGGTTGAGGACAAGGTGGAGGGTTTCCCCTCTTTCTAGGCCACCTTGCAGGCTTCCATACCCACCATGAGATATGCCCATCCTTTCACCTGACCATTTGCGCCCTTGTGTAGAGATGTAGCTTGGAAAGCACATGTTTTGCAGCCTCTAGCTCCTCCATGTCTGGCACCTGGTGGTGTATATTGTCAGGAGTAGAGAAACAAACAGACAGAAGTTGCCCTACACCTGGGCAAACTAAACCAAGCCAAACTCACTGTCTTTGAGTCAGATCCGACTCATAGCAACCCCTCCTTGGGTTTCAGAGGTGGTATCACTAAGGAAGTAGATTGTCCAGTCTTTCTTCCAAGGAGTGGCTGGTGGGTTTGAACTGCCAGCCTTCTGGTTAGCAGTCAAATGCCTTTGGCACTGTGCCACCAGAGCTCCTACACCTGGGCAAGGGATCTCACAAGCACAGTGTAACCAGTCCCAGAGGACTCCCTCTCTCTCTTCCTTGTGAAGGGGTTTGCACCAGCATATGCTTTATTAGAAATGGGTCCTAGTCTTGGTGGCACAGTGGTTAAGGCATTCAACCACTGTTCCACCAAGTTGAATTAACCAAAAAAGGTCGGCAGTCTGCTCTGTGGCAGAGCGATAAGGCAGTCTGCTTCCATAAACATTCACAACCTTGAAAACTCTAGGGGCAGTTCTACTCTGTCCATGAAAAAAAAAAAAAAAAAAACCTCATTGCTGTCCAGTCGATCTGACTCATAACGACCCCTCCTTGGGTCGCTCCGGAAGTAGATTGCCCAGTCTTCCTTCTGAGGAGTGGCTGGTGGGTCACTATGAGTTAGAATCCACTCAATGGCAGTGGGTTTGATTTGGTTTTGCCTCTGTGACTTGTGTGAAAGAACCCACCTCCAATATCCACCAACCACACCCCTCTGCAAAAGGTCACATAATCTCCCCAGGCTTGGTGGGGCCACAATTCCTTACTCTTACTTGCTTACAGGGCTGTTGCCCCAGGGACTGGGTGAGGACCCAGAGAGCTGGTTCTGCCTCAGGTGTGGCATGTGCCCAAGGAAAGGGCTCAGACATGCCCCTGAGCTGCTGGCCACACCCCTGGGTACAGACCACCCTGACGGTATTGGGTGTGGGGAAGTAGGAGGCCCATTGCAAAACTGTAGACCTATTCACTCTGTGGAATGTACCACGCCACGCATGTCGTGAGGGGCAGGCTATGGGATCTGTGTGACTGGGGCCATGTGCTGAACATAAATTTGGGGCTCTCAGGCCCCTTGTTCTGATCAAGCCTGTGGGAGGGATGGAGGAGATGGAAAAGTGAAAGTACCCTTCTCTTCACCCTCTTCTGCCTGGAAACATTTTGATTAGGCTAAAGTGGAAACAGAAGAGAGGTGGTGGTTCTGACTGCCCTGATGGGAGAAGATAGGCTTGCCTCTTGGAAGAAGAGAGCCCCAAGGCTTAGTAATTTGGGATGAATGCAAACTTCCTGTCCTTGCTCCCAGGCTTGGGCCAGGCCGGTGGAAAGAAGCCCTATTCTGTTGACTGTAGGAATCTTTCTACCCCCAGCTCAGGACTTACCCGGATGAAGATGAGGGTGTTAGAGTTTCCCACACGGTACTTCCCCTCAGACACCTTGACCATGGAGAACTGAACTGGGCATGTGCAGTGGCTCACTAGACTCTGCACCTGCCAGGAGAAGGCAGCAGGCTCAGCTTCCTCTCTGCTCAGACTGCAAGTTCCCTCCCACGCTGGTCAAGCACCATGGGGGGTTTCCTCCCGTCTGCCCCCCCACACACACACCTGCCCCAAGGCTTCCACCAACTTCAGCACTGGGGACTGAGAAAAGGGAGAGAGAACAAGACCTTTAGTGGTCACCTATTGCCCAGCACCCTCATGGATCAGCTGAAGGGGGGAGTGGACTGCAGTGGACTGGAGTGGACTGGAGTGGACTGGAGTGGTGGACGTGCAGTCTGACAGGTTTGGGTCGGAGTCCTGACTCCACTGCATCGTATGCCTTGGACAGATTAAGAAACCTCCCTGAGCTCCATTTTCCTTGGTGGTGAAAACGGGCTAAGAGTTCACTCTTAAGGAGCCCTGCTCGGTGCCACACTGTTTAAGCACTCACATGCGTTGGCAGCCAGAGATTAGTGCTGTTACTATCCTCACTTCACAAAAGAAGAAACCAAGGTAGAGAGTGGTCAAGTAATTTGCCCAAAGTCACACAGCTACAAAGCAGGGGAACTAAGCCTTGAATTTAGACCCCCTAGACTTTTGAATAAAATCGCTTCTCCCAGCCCATGCACAAGGCTATGGTGTGAGTTGTACGAGAGATGTGTAGAGTGCTGGGTTTGTCATAAAAACAGTAGGTGGCATAACCACGACTACGTGGGATGGGGGTTGAGGCTCAGAGTGGAACGTGATTACAGAAAACCACACAGCGAATTCGTGTCAGAGCTGGGACTGCGCTCCACACGACGGTGACTCAGAGGGGGCTGGAGTCAGAAGAGGGAGAGGAGGGCAGGGCGAAGGAGCCGGGGGCTGGGGGCAATGTCCGGAGCCGCTCACCACTTGGTCCAGGTTGCGGAAGTGGCACGCCCGGCGCGTGGGCGGCGCTGGCGGCGGCGGGTCCGGTGGGGGCAGGGCCAGCTCCCGCCGCAGCTCCTCCTCGATCTCCTCCTCCAGTTGCACCAAGGTGGGCGCCGCGACACCGAAGCGCCAGGCCCGGCGGCCCACCTCCAGCAAGCACAGCACCACGTTCTTCACGTTCTTGCGCAGCACCAGGTCCTCGGTCTCGAACATCAGCACCTCTGTGGGACGGGGGAGGAGGCAGTGTGAGCCCCCTGCTGGCCTCCCGGGAATGGGGTGACAGGATGCTAGCAGCCTACAGCAGCTGGGACACTCGGTGACTCAGCACTTATTGGGACTGAGGCCGGGGGAGGGACGCCGTGGAGATCTGGGATGGGGATGACGGGGCATAGGAGTGGTTTGGCCCCAGTATCTCGGGGCCTAGTTAGCCTCCAGGCAGGGTTCTGGCAGCATTGCACAGACACTGGGTGCAGTCAAGGTGGCCTGTGTAACTGAAGAGGTAGGAGTTGACACAGGCAAAGCAAAGGAACCTGGAGCCTGGCTGTGGGCCCGAAGCAAGAGAATGTTTAACTCCATCTTGTCCTCCCCACCCCGCTTGCCAGGATGGGTCTGGAAGCAGGAAGTACTTTGTTCCCATGTGGCTCACCTCCAATATCCACCAGGCATCTCAAACTCCTCCCCAGCCAGACCCTGGAGCCCAACTGCCAGGGTCAGAGTCCCGAGTCTCCCGCCTACTAGCTGTGTGGGTCATTCTGTGAATCAGTTTCCTCTCCTGTAAAATGGAGGTGTGGTCTTCGTGGGGTTGTTGTGAGGATTTGAGGTGCTAATAGCATCTGCAGAACAGTGCCTAGCTGTGGTGAGTGCTTAGTAAAATGTTAGCTTCTAAACCTGCTCCTCCAGACATTGGTGGTTCAGTGGTGGAATTCTTGCCTTCCGTGTGGGAGACCCGGGTTCAGTTCCTGGCCAGTACACCTCAGGCGCAGCCACTACTTGTCTGTTACTTATGCTGCTATGGGGCTGAACAGGCTTCCGCAGGGCTCCCAGACTAAGACTAGGAAGAAAGGCCTGGTGATCTGCTTCCCAAAACCACAGTGGTCCGACCCATAACCAGCCACGAGGATAATACAGGATCAGGCACATTGTGCGTGGCATGCCCTTGTGTCAGAGGCCCACTCAACAGCAGCTAAAAACATCAACACACCTTGCCCTCACTGCCCCACCACCACCCACCAGAAGGATGATGCAATATCCCACCTCATCCCATTCTTGAGTCAAAGCCAAGGAAAGGAGGGATCCTGAGTCCTACAAGCCGCAGCATGACTGGGCCCCTCTCCAATATCCTAGCTGGCTCCTCCCCTGCCCTTTTTGCATCCCACCGCTACCCCATGCCTTCACAATGCTCTGCCCTGCTTCTCCCAGGCATCCAAACACAACGCCCATTTGGTGCCTTTGCCCCTGCTGTCACTCAGCCTAGAATCTGCTTTCCCCAAAACTTCTATTTATTCTTCAAGACACTGTGCAGCCTTTCTCAGCCTCTAGTTGCACGGCCTCAGGGGGCTTTTCTGCCTCTGGCCCCCCAACACACGCACACCCCTACTTGAGCCCGTGCCACGTGGGGCTGTCATTTACAGATCTACACATCCATCACTCTTCCTAGACTGTGAACTCCTTGGGCCCTGGGTCTCATTCTTCTTGGTCCTTAATGCCCAGCATGATGCTCAGCACAAAGGAGATGCTCAATAGATGTTTTTTTTTTTTTTTTAATAACTTAATCTACCAGTACATTTATTTATTGAGGGTTTAGTGTGAGATGGGGAAACAGGCATGAAAAGAAATGATGAGTTGGCTCAAGGAGGATCTGGAAGGAGGATCCAGGATGTCCCCACAAGGTAAGGCCCCAGGGGGAGAAGGGAGGAGTATAAGCCGGTTACCTTGGATGCCCATCTCCTTTCGACACCACTGGATGAAGTTGGACACATTGTCCCGTGCCTGGAAGGTACCCGGCTGAGCGGCCCCATTGCAGGAAACTCCTTCCTGGGGCACGGGAATCCTTTGGGCTTGGGCAGGGGCCTCAGCCAGGAAGGCCAAGGCCGCCTCGGTGATGGCATTGGCGTGGCGGCACAGCACCAGGCCCGTCTCCAGCACCTGTAGGAAGCTGGCTCCGTCTATGTCCAGTCCGTAGAGATCCCGCAGCCACTCGGCCAGGTCTTCCTTCATGGCCTCCAGGTAATGCTCGCTGGACTTAAAGGGCCGGATGCTTTGTATAGGAGGTCCCAGGGTCTCAGGCCTCCTCCTGAGCCCCCTGGGCTGGAACATGGCTGCACGCTCCACGGTCAGCAGGGGCGGATGGGGACAACTCCTCTCCCCACTGCTGGCCTTCACTCTGGCCACCTGCTGGGTCTTGTCCCTGTCCTCCCTGGCTCAGGAGTTCCTCTTCTACCCTCCTGAAACCCAGGATTTCTGGCTCTGCTCCTTGCCCCTAACCTCAGCCACTGGGCCAGGCCCAGCCCTCAACCCCCCACATTCCTCGGTGCCTGCCAGAACTTTCTCGGCCGGGTGGTCCTGCACAGACCGTATTCTCTGGCTGCCCAGTCCACATGAAGTTCACCATCTGCCAGAACGATAGAGGAGGACGCGCCTCACTCCCTGCCAGGGCTGGACAGGTCACACAGCCTGCCGCCCACCCCCCACTGGCCGGGAACCGGGTGTGACTGTCTGTCTCTCTGCTCTGCTTTCCTTTCCTCTCCTTGGAGACAGCGGCTGCTACAAACACTCCCTGTTAACCCTCCCCAGTAGGCAGGCAGGCAGGCAGGCAGGGACTGCCCTGCAGAGCCCGCCCAGGAGCAGATGAGCTGGGAGGAAAAAACTGGAGCTGGCTTCTCTCACCAGGTTGATGGGGTGGGGACTCCTGGGGAAGGGGGAGTAAAGCCAGGGCAGGAGTTGCTGTGCCCTCTGGTGTCTGGTGAATAGAGTGGGATGGGGATGAAAGGAACACAGTCCAAAGGCTTGCATCCCAAACCTTATACCTAAGTCCCTGCATAAATTTCATATCCTACCTAGCCTCTCTGTGCCTTAGCTTCCTCAACTATTAAATGGGAATAATAATGTCTACCTCACTGGGTGTGCTGTGAGGAATAAAGGAATGATGTATATAAGGAATGATACACACACATGCACAGACACACAGGCACACGCAATGATTCTTCCAGCAGCCCTGGCTGTGTTCACAGTCCCCTTTGGGGCATCCAACCATGCGATTCTTCTAGAGTCAGTTGTCAAGCACAGTACCTCCCCCCAATGTTAGATTACTCAATAAGCAAGATAAACACGGGCTTACTTGTACTTATTTACTAATCTGTAGTGAATAATTTCACATTTTTTTTCACCACATCAAAGATTCTGCTTTTAGGTATGGCTGGCATCTGTCTTTCTCCCAATCCCACAGCACCTTCCTATAGAATCAAAGCCTCTTTTCAAATTTACAATATCAGACAGGCATAGAGTATCTAGTAAGCAAGGTAAGTTACTAATCTGTAGTGAACAATTTCACATGGGTTTCACTGGGCCTTCACGGCCACAATGATTCATTAATTAACAAACATTTCTTGAGCACATACTATGTGCCAGGCACTATTTTAGGCCTGAGGATACGGCAATGAACAAAAAAGACCAAGTCCCTGGAAGTTCCTTACATTTTAATGGGTGAGAGGTGACAGATAATAAATACATCTATAGTAAATCAGATGGTGATAACCACCAGCGGGAAACATACAGAAATGTAAAGGAGATGGACAGTGTGCAGTATTTTATAAGGTGCCTGAGAACACTTCACGATAAGGAGATATTTGAGCAGAAACTTGAAAGATGTGATGAAGCAAGCCCTGAGGAGACCTGGGGGAGGAGTGGTTGGCAGTGGGAGTAGCCAGTGCAAAATCCCTGACTGCAGGAGCATGCTTGGCATATTCCAAGAATAGCAGAGAGGATTCAAGGCAGAGAGGCAATGGAGGTCCAGGTAACACAGGGCCTTGCAGGTGACTAAGGCCTTTGGCTTTTTTTCTGAGGGAAATGAAAACAATGCACTGGAGCATCTTGAGTAGAGAAGTGACATGCTCTAATTATGTTTTAACAGGGCCACTCTGCTGCGTAGAGAGAGGACTGCAAGGGTAGGGTGTGCAAAAAGGACATGGAGATGGCATCTTCTGACCTCCTTTAACTTCACAAGAGGGAGACAGAATCACCATCAGCAGCTCAGGGCTTATTCCCATGAGGCCAGACATGCTACCACCCTCCAGCCTTTTTACCAACTCTGACACCAATGGTCACTCACACAGCACTCACTACTTCTCTGCTGGGTTTGATAATTCATTCCGATGGCCACACAGAATTCACAGACAATACTCATGTTTATGGGGTTTATTAGGGAAGTAACAGGCTACAAGTCAGGTTCAGGAACACACTCAGCATCCACTTCTGCCATCAGGACAGTCTCCCTTCTTCTATGCCTTCAGGCACACCTCTCTGGCCCTTGACCTCTCGCCCGCCCTCTGCCCTGCTCGGGAAAGTATTAGAAAGCTCTTTTAGTTCTGCCACTCCACCAGCAAGTCCCCTGGCCGAAGGCACTCAGCTTTCTCACTCCATGAACCGACAGGGCCACCGCTCTGTCTCTTGGCTCTAGGTTCCTCTGCCGCCGTCTCTCAGTCAGGCATCTCTGCCAGGCTTCTCTGCCAAGGAGGTCCAGCGCAGGGATCTCGGGTCCAAGGACTCACTCCATTCACCTCCGGCTCTTCCCTCTTGATAGCAGTGAGATTCCCCTCCTCTGCTTCTAGGAGGGCTCATTTTAAGCCCAGCAGCCTGGCAAAACTAACCAGTCTTTGCATTAAAGTTCCATATACCTCATTTGGATGGTGCCACCCAATAATCTGGTGGGAGTTACAAAGACCATGACTAGAAAAGCCATGCTAAGTAATGCACTGCACCCCAGGGTAGAATCAAGGGGAACAGTTAGGTTATTGCAGTTACCCAGGCAAAAGTTGATGGTGACTTAGACCAGGATGGTGATAAAGAGTCACATTCTATGTATCTCTCAAAGAGTTAAAAGAATTGTCTCAAACATGGTTTCTGGACCTCAGCATTACTGACATTTTGGGACAGATAATTCTCTGTTGCCGGGGGCTGTCTTTGTCATTGTAGGATGTTTAGCAGTAACCCCTGCCTCTGCCTACTAGATGCTAATAGCACCAACCCCAAGCAGTGACAGCCAAAATGCCTCTAGACTTTGTCAAATATCCCCAGAGAGGGCAGCAAGGAGAACTGCCCCTGGTTGAGAACCACTGCTGTAGGAGCATGTGAGTCGAGCTTGTCCAGTCCTTCCCTGAGGTCTTTGCATTGGAACTTACCAGGGCAGGTTCTTTTCCCTCTCCAATGATTAAGCTTAGGGATGTGAGTCTGGAGGCTTGTTCCCACTACAAGGAAAAAGCCTTTCTGTAACAAACAAGAATGTAGCTGGCACACAAAGAAAACAAAGGAGAGAGGCCCCTGAGGATGCTGGAACCTTTGGGTTCTGCTGTGTTAGGCCAGCCATACGTCTGCCTCTATCAGCTAGGGTTAAGTGAAGAATTGACATACACATAGTAAATGGAGAATTGAGGTAGGTATCCCGTTAATTCTGAAGAGGAGATGTATTTCATTTGGAAGATATAATGAAATAAATAGAATTTGAGCTGGGCCTTAATGATGAAATGGAAAATTGTACGTTCACACTTTTACTAGGTTAGAGAACATCTTAATCAAACCTTAATCAATAGGAAGACACAGATGGACCACTGACAGCATCCTTTTATTAAGCTAATTTGAGTTGGTTTGCTATCAGTTGCATCTAAAATGAATTTGTAAGAAAAAAATAGAGATATCGTCTCCCTACTGCTCCTACAGATTTTACCTGTAACCTATAAAGGACAGCGAGGACCTCTGGTAGCATAGTGCCTAAGGCACTTGACTGATAACCAGAAGGCTGGCGGTTCAAACCCACCAGCCACTCCTCAGAAGGAAGGTTGGGCAATCTACTTGCGTACTGATACTGCCTTGGAAACCCAAGGAGGGGTTGCTATGAGTCAGGTCCGAGTCAATAGCACATAGCATCAACAACAATGACATAAAGGACAGTGGTTAAAGGAATTGGCTGCTAATGGAAAGGTCACAGGTTCCACTCCACTAGCTAGTGTGCAGGAGAAAGTTGTGGCAGTCTGCTCTCCTAAAAATTTCCAGCCTTGAAAACCCTATGGGCAAGATCTACTCTGTGCTATAGGGTTGACATGAGCTGAAATTTACTAGATGGCCGTGGGTTTAGGTTTATTTTTAATTATTATTATTTTTAACATATTTTATGATTCAGCTTCTAAGCCCCCAGGCTTGTTAGGAAAGGGCTTGTTAGGAAAGTTCCCCACCAGGGAGGCTCGCTCCTCCTTTGGGGATCCTTCATCTTTTTAAATGTGTTAATTTAACACTATACATTTCTCTCAACACTGCCTTCACTGCATCTTGTTTTGTTACGTTGCAGTTTCATTTTCATTTGTTTTCCAAGTCTTCTCTGATTTCTCTCTTGACTGGTTGTTTAATAGTGTATCGCTTGATTTCCACATACTTGCGTAGTTTTCAGTTTTCCTTCTGTTAATAAGTTCTAGTTCATTTCATTCTGTCTTCTGTCGTTACATAAGATACTTTGTATGATATCAACCTTTTAAAATTTGAGATTTTTTTCTGTGACTTAAGAAACTCTGGTGGCCTAATGGGTAAGGCATTTGGCCCCATCCAGAAGGTCAACGGTTCAAATCCACCAGCTGCTCTGCGGGAGGAAGATGAACTAGTCTACTGCGGAAACATTTGCAGACTCGGCAACCCAATGGGGGTCGCTAAGAGTCGGAATCAACTAGATGGCGGTGGGTTTTTTTGTGACGTAGCGTACATATGGTCGCTTGTCTTCTATAGCCTCCCGCGGTGGCAGCCCTGACACGTGGGCAGGCTGCCACCTGCTCTGGGCTCCTAGTCCTCCAGGGACCGCAGCCCTGTGGCACCGACCGCGTCCACATCCCTCTCTGCTCCGACTCGGACTCGGGGCGGCCCGCTCTCCTACCCGCGTCTGGACAGACCTCTCCTCGCCCGCGGCTACCGCCGCCGCGGCCTCGGCCCCGTTAGAAAAGTGGGGAGGCGGCGGGAAACCCCCCGGGGCACCCCTCGGCGGGCTGCTCGGCTCCCGGGGGAGGCTGAGTTGCCACCGCCAGCCCTCAGCGTCCGGACGACCGGGCGGGATCGCGGGCCCT